CCCGCCTCTGGCCCTTGGAGATATCAGCCCAGGGCCGTCTGTGGAGTTCTGGCTCCCGCCTCCTACGCCCGGGGGACAACGGTGGGGGACAACGGTGGGGCTCAACGGCGGGGCTCCGATGCCCTGCTCACTCCCTCCAGCTACCTTCGACACACCCGGCCAGGATGCTGGCTCTCAGCTCTCATGACAACCCTAGCAAACTCCTATGCATCCCTCAAGACCCTCCTGGGCAAAGCGGTCCTTCCACCGCCTGGCAGTCTCTTCTGCCATCTGCCGTTCCTCATGGAGCTCAGTTGTGCCCAGCCCTGCAGTATCCACGTCCCTTCAGCACATGAGGCTACAACTGGGACATCTCTGGAGGGCTGTGAGCCCCTCAGAGACCTTGGGGAAGACCAGCCTCGTCCCCCTCTGGCCCTGCCAGCTCCTGGCTCTGCCCCCCACCTGGGTCCGCCCCATCCAGTCTCCCTCCCTGCACACTCCTCTCAAAGGGACTTCCCCTGGCTGGCCCGGGCACTGCTGCGGTGTGGCCCAGGGTAGGGGTGGCAGGAGGGACCCTTCCTAGACAGCTGGTGCCCGCCGGTCCCAGACCCTGCATGGGCAGGGGAAACGGAGGCCCTGGGCAGTCCCTCCGCCGAGGATCTCTGCTGGCAGGCTGGGGGCACAGGCACGTCCACCCTCTCCCAGCCCCTTGGACTCGCGGCCACAGCAGAGGCTCTGCGGTCCGGCCACTGGGCCTCCTGGCCCTGACCCGTGGTGAGAGGCCGGCAGAGGCAGCTGGCAGGGGGCTCAGAGCCCTGATGGCAGCCGGGGGGCTGTTGGGGTCACAGAGGGGTCTCGCCCTCACCTCCAGCATGGGGGGTGCAGGGGTCACACAGAGGGGTCTCCAGGCCTCACCTCCAGGATGGGGGGATGTGGGGGCTACACAGAAGGGTCTCCCGCTCTCACCTGGAGGAAGGAGGGCCTGTCAAGGTCACAGAGGGGTCTCCAGGCCTCACCTCCAGGATCGGGGGGCTGTCGGGGTGGCAGACAGGTCTCCAGGCCTCACCTGGGGTATGGGGAGCTGTTGGGGTCACAGAGGGGCCTTCAGCCCTCATCTCCAGGATGGGAGTTTGCAGAGGGTCACTCAGAGGGGTCTCCAGCCCTCAACTGGAGGATGGGGAAGGTGCCTGTCGGGGTCACACAGAGGCGTCTCCAGCTTCACCTTCAGGGTTGGGGGATGTGGGGGTTACACAGAGGGGTCTCCAGCTCTCACCTGGAAGATGAGTGGCCTCTTGGGGTCACAGAGGGGTCTCCAGCCCTCGCCTCCAGCATGGGGGTGGTTGCCGGAGTCACACAGAGGGGTCTCCATCCCTCAACTGGGGCATGGGGAAGGGGCCTGTCGGTGTCACAGAGGGTCTCCAGGCCTCACCTCCAGCAGGGGGCGGGGCTGCCGGGGTCCCACAGAGGGGTCTCCAGCTCTCACCTGGAGGATGGGGGGCCTGTCAAGGTCACAGAGGGGTCTCCAGCCCTGATCTCCCGGATCGGGGGGTGTCGGGGTGGTAGACGGTCTCCAGGCCTCACCTGGGGTATGGGGAGGCGCTGGGGTCACAGAGGGCTCTCCAGTCCG